TTTGTCGTTGCAAATGGAAGCAGCTTCCAACAAAGGAAGCACATTCGATGCAGAAGGGCAATGACAGAGAGACGCATACCACCTTCATGGCAACTGGTAACGGGAGACAGATCACTTATATCTGATGCATGCAGTACAAAGTCGCGGGAGATGTATAATCTGCGTCTGATGCATACAGCTTAATGTCACGGGAGATGTATAATGTGTCTCAAGCATTCCAAACAAAGTCACGGGAAATGTATAATCTGCGTCTGATGCATACAGCTTAATGTCACGGGAGATGTATAATGTGTCTCAAGCATTCCAAACAAAGTCACGGGAAATGTATAATCTGCGTCTGATGCATACAGCTTAATGTCACGGGAGATGTATAATGTGTGTTAAGCATACAGCATAAAGTCACGGGAGATGTAGAATGTGTGTCTGATGGATACAGTACAAAGTCACGGGAGATCTATAATATGTGTCTGAAGCATACAGTACAAAGTCACGGGAGATGTATAATCTGCGTCTGAAGCATACAGTATAAAGTCACGGGAGATGTCACGGGAGAAGTTTATTTAATATTTTAGGCCATATGACCTATAGTACAGAAGTGGTTTGTTTGTATCAACATTGTACAGTCACGTGTAGGTAATAAGAAGTTTACATATAATATTAACGTCTAATTTCAAAATTCTTCTCCAGGAATATTGACAGATATGATATTGTATTAGCATTGCGGGAGTTCAACAAATTTTTCATCAGTTGTTCATCTTTGTACATAGTTGAAATCATAGGGAGGTTTCTACTTCAAAGAAACTGACAATATTTACAAGTGAGAAGCACATGAAACTCATCCTCAAATTAGCCTTTCACAATAACGGCATGAACTACTTTCTTTATCTTGTACATTTTTCTTTCTGAGATTATTAACATTAATTTTATGGTGGTTGGTTGGTTCGTTGGTTAGTTGGTTGGTTGGTTTGTTGTTTAACGCCGCGCTCAGCAATATTCCAGCTACATGACGGCGGTCTGTAAATAATCGAGTCTGGACCAGACAATCCAGTGATAAGCATCGATCCGCGCAATTGGGATCGATGACATGCATCAACCAAGTCAGCGAGCTTTACCACCCGATCCCGTCAGTGGCCTTTTACGGCAAGCAAGGGTTGCTGAAGACCCATTCTACCCCGGATCTTCACGTGTCTTAAAATTATGTAATGACATACGTATTTTACACAAAGAAGTTCAGATACATATTTTTCAGGAACAAGTAATGATTTTGTATTCGTATAATGGCATAAAAACCTTGAGGATGATATTTGACAGTGCCAATCTTGTGAAAATATATCAAGTAATCTTTGCAATTCCTGAAATCAGACACCCATAAACAATATTTACCCTTTTCATCCCAGGCTTTTACATATTATAACAATGAATAGGAAATCTATTTGAATTCATACGAAGTAGCTTTATCAAATGTTTAACTGCCCGAAGCTGGGAAGAAACAAAAAGACTGGCACGACCAGTTTCTCCTAGAATGGCTTTGTTTGAGGCATATTCACCGACACCTAAAAAAAGCTTAAAGTACATGACATGAATTTTTTCTATGGAATCATTAATATCCCCATATTTCTGAACCATACAGAGGAATTGGTGCTATTTTTCTGTCAAAAATGTCCGAAACAACTCGGAAAGATATAAATTTGTTTTCTTTAAAAACTCTAGAGACAGGAATCAAGGCTTTAGATGCTTGCAGAGCCAACTGCTTACATGCTGTTGACCATGATGATCGAGAAGATACAGTCAATCCTAAATATTTATAATATGAAACAATATTGACTGTCTTATTACAATACGTCCATTTTTCAAATTTATTTAGAATACCACCTTTTCTGAAAACAATTACATTTGTCTTTTTCAAATTTACTTCAAGGGCCCATTTCTCACACTATAGCTGGAGAACATTTAACTGTTTCTGGAGGCCACTAACTGAAAATGATAATAAGCAACATCTTAAGCAAATAGTAACAACATTATATCAATTATATCTTGTGACACAAAGACTCCGTAATCACATTCATGATACATTTCAGTTACAAATTCATTTATGAAAAATATAAATAGGACAGGGCTGAGTACACAGTCCTGTCTTACACCAGCTGAAGTTCTGAAACATTCACTGATTCCTTTATCTGTCTTGATACATGCCTTAACTGATGAGTACATGCTCTGTAGAACGTTTGACAATTTGCCTGTTAATCCTTTAGTAATTAATAAAAACTTCATTTACTTTCTATCCACATAGTCAAAAGCCTTTTTGAAATCGATAAAGGCACAATAAAACGGCGCTTGGGTTTACTAAGATATTTTGTACACAAAGATTGAAGAATAAATATATTGTCTGATGGAGAATAGTTGGGTCTAAATCCAGCTTGGGATTCTGATAACAGGTCATTCACGTCTAACATTTTCTAATACGTTTTTCAATCACAACAGAAAACATTTTGCCAGTCACATTTAGGAGAGAAATACCTCGATAGTTGTTTGGATCAGATATGTTTCCAGATTTAGGTAGAGAAATAATCATTCCTATATTCAAGGAATTTTGAAAAACACCTCTATCTAGAATTGTATTAAAAAGTTGCTTAAGATAAGGGTTTATGAAATTTGTTATACTTTTCATATATTCAGGGGGTATACCATCCTCACCGGCTGCTTTACCCACTTTTAAATCATCTAAAGCTTTTTAAATTTCATTTTCAGTAATTTCACCTGATAAAAGCTGGTCAGTAAAAGGCATATCATTACAATGTTAACATGAATGGGAATCTTAAAATTTCTGAACTGATTTATCAAATTCATTCACATCTCTGATAAAAGCTGGATTTAATAAATCCTTACAATATCTAAACCAAGTGTCAGGGGTTATATCACCTTGTCGTGCGTTACTTCTCAAATAGTGCTTTATAGTCTTCCAGAGCTCTTTACAATCACTCATATTTGCAGCATCGGTTAATTTCTGACTCATATGCATTTTATACTCATTTTGTTTAGTTTTACACTTCTTTCTGAATTCAGTTTTCGCACATGAGTAATCTTTTAAGTTTGAGTCACTCTTGAATGATCTGAAACGATTTAGTAGCATGTATTTCTTAGATTTAAGTTGACAGCAATTTGCATCAAACCATAACGATTGCTCTTCAGAGGTTATTTTCTAGACCATCTATAGACTGCCCCCGCCTCTTCCCAACAGTAGATAAGTATATCAGCTAATTTCATAACTGCAGCGTTTATGTCAGTTTGCTGTGTGTATATTGTGTGTCTGAAGCATACAGTATAATGTCAAGGGTGATGCATAACGTGTGTAAAGCATACAGTAAAATGTCACGGGAAATGTATAATGTGTGTGAAGCATACAGTATAACGTCACGGGAAATGTAAAATGTGTGTGAAGCATACAGTACAAAGTCACGGGAGATGTATAATTTGTGTGAAGCATACAGTATAACGTCACGGGAAATGTATAATGTGTGTGAAGCATACAGTACAAAGTCACGGGAAATGTATAATGTGTGTGAAGCATACAGTATAACGTCACGGGAAATGTATAATGTGTGTGAAGCATACAGTACAAAGTCACGGGAAATGTATAATGTGTGTGAAGCATACAGTATAACGTCACGGGAAATGTATAATGTGTTTGAAGCATACAGTACAAAGTCACGGGAAATGTATAATGTGTGTGAAGCATACAGTATAACGTCACGGGAAATGTATAATGTGTGTGAAGCATACAGTACAAAGTCACGGGAGATGTATAATGTGTGTGAAGCATACAGTATAACGTCACGGGAAATGTATAATGTGTGTGAAGCATACAGTACAAAGTCACGGGAGATGTATAATGTGTGTGAAGCATACAGTATAACGTCACGGGAAATGTATAATGTATTTGAAGCATACAGTACAAAGTCCAGGGAGATGTATAATGTGTGTGAAGCATACAGTACAAAGTCACGGGAAATGTATAATGTGTGTGAAGCATACAGTATAACGTCACGGGAAATGTATAATGTGTGTGAAGCATACAGTATAACGTCACGGGAAATGTATAATGTGTTTGAAGCATACAGTACAAAGTCACGGGAGATGTATAATGTGTCTGAAGCATACAGTATAACGTCACGGGAAATGTATAATGTGTGTGAAGCATACAGTATAACGTCACGGGAAATGTATAATGTGTGTGAAGCATACAGTATAACGTCACGGGAGATGTATAATGTGTGTGAAGCATACAGTATAATGTCTCGGGAAATGTATAATGTGTCTGAAGCATACAGTACAGAGTCACTGGAGATGTATAATGTGTGTGAAGCATACAGTACAAAGTCACGGGAGATATATAATGTGTCTGAAGCATACAGTACAAAGTCACGGGATATATATAATGTGTCTGAAGCATACAGTATAATGTCTCGGGAAATGTATAATGTGTCTGAAGCATACAGTACAGAGTCACTGGAGATGTATAATGTGTGTCAAGCATACAGTACAAAGTCACGGGAGATATATAATGTGTCTGAAGCATACAGTACAAAGTCACGGGAGATATATAATGTGTCTGAAGCATACAGTTCAAAGTCACGGGATATATATAATATGTGTAAAGCATATAGTATAACGTCATATATGACGGCAGTCTGTAAATAATCGAGTCTGGACCAGAAAATCCAGTGATTGTCATCATGGACATCGATCCACGCAAATGGAATCGATGACATGCATCAACCAAGTCAGCGAGCCTGACCACCCGATCCCGTTAGTCGCCTTTGACGACAAGCATAGTCGCCTTTGACGGCAAACATGGGTTGCTGAAGACCTATTCTACCCCGGATCTCCACGGGTTGAAGCGTAACCTGGGTACGGCACCTACAGAACAATGGAAACCCCATGTAATCTGTGTGTGAGTGTAATTTAAGTCACTTAAAGCAGGCATTCATGTTTGTACTTACCTTTGAAGTGATCGAGGTTTCCTTGCCCAGTTTGCCCAGAATGTTGACGGGTGAATTCAGCAAGAAATGATTCATACGGGTTCCGGATGATTAAAATGGCTCGCTTGTAGATGGTAGAGACTGACGCATGTGTCTTTATCGCAACCACTGTGCCGTCTGTTCGACCTTCGCCAGGGAAGCCATTCTCCATCAACTTTTTATTCTTGTAGATTGCTCCGGTGTAGATTCCTGAAACGAGTTTCTTTTAGACAATAATACTTGCTGAAGTTTAAATGATCCAATACTAAGGATGTGCAATCTCACCATATATTGCAGTCATTATGAAGAAGGGAGTGCATCAACTGTTCGATGACATTGTATTAGTAGTAGTTGTTATTGGTAGCAGGAGCATGGATTGAGGTCGGACTGTGGTCATAGGTGTTTGTGCCCACCTTAACGACAGGATTTTATTGTTCACCTACAAATCGCTCACGTAATTTATTCAGAAAGAAAATAAAAAGTATTACATTTTTATCAGTGATATAACATCCAATCACAGAGTTGATATAAACTGCCGTTAGAGAGAGTTCACTGTCATAACAATATCAGATAATCATAAAGTGTAGTAAAAAACAATAGTTTGCTTATAAAACATGAAAATCCAATGCTGCCCTTTCCATGTAACCTTACATTAGATTTTGGCCTGGCATTCTAGAAAGACAAAATGTATCTTCTTGGTTAAACTCTGTACTTCTCAGATCTTGGCTGCTATCATCATGTGTGGGATATTCAATTAAAAATTCTTCAGTAAATCAACAATGACCAAGAAATAATGTAATGAGAAGACTTATGGAATGTACATGTCATCAACTGACGACCAGTTTCACCAAGATTAGCTCTGTTAACTGCAAATGTACCCACTTCTTGAAAACATAGTCACACATCAATAATGGAAAAGATGGTAGAAACAGTAGTTGAATGAATATATGTGTTATCACACAACGATTGAGAAAACATCAATTGCCTTACTTACTCTCACAGCAAGAGTGTTACATGGTTAGGACCATATAAGTCTTGGGGAGAACAAAACTGCAAGATATTAATCGACAATTAACATTTTTTACCTTCGTTTTTTTCAAAGTCTATGATTCAGACAAAGACAATTTTCGTTAATTTTGACTTATCAACATTTACACGTATTCCCCCTTGAAAGAATACCGTATTCGACGAAATAAGCGCCCAGCGCTCTCAAAATAAGAAATAGGGAGCTCTTTTTAGAATATTATTTTAGTGGAAAAATATAAAGTTGAAAGGTAAATTTCGTGGTTAATGCTGACAGCCTGAAATGTTTATGTACCACAGATCTATTTTTCCAGAATTTAATTGCCCATAATTAAGTGTGCATATAACAGATGAGTGCGTATTTTAAGCGAATATATAAGTCTTGTGCACATTGACCAATCGGAAGGGGTGCTAATTAAGATTGTTCACTGGCCAATTTATTAGCGAATATCGCCGTGGGCGCTTATTAGAGCGGGGCGCTTATTACGTCGAATACGGTATGCACTTAAAAATCTATTGATTTTTGTAAGCCCAGAAAAGTGAGAAAAAAGCAATATCATCCGCCAAAGAAAAATAACAGTATATCTTCCATAATTCGGAGAAAAGGGGGAGGGGGGTTGAATAGAGTGTTTGGGAGGTCAGTAAGTCATATTTAGGGGGTTTAGTAGCGTTGCTGGTGTCATTTGATTGTTGCAGTTTAGTGTGGATTGCTCTGTGTGCCTTGTAGTGTATGCATTGGACAAGTGCATGTTCTGTGGTTTCTTTTTGAGTGCAGTGTGGGCATGCGCCTGGAACGAATTCTATCTGTTTGCCTGTTTTTGTTAGTTCATAAGAGCTTTTTAAAATTTGATTTATTAATTTGGGACGGTTTTTAGTGTTTTTGTTTTTTAGGGCCTGGAGTCCACTGAGGGAGTCTGTTAGGATGAGGATGTTTTGGTGGGTGTTTATTTGTGGGTTGTGAAGGGCTGTGGCCAGGCCCATGAGCTCGGCCGTAAAGATTAATTGATTATTGAGGAGCCTGTAAGATTTTGTTTGTTTTAGAAGTAAGGTTTCAGAGAGTTGTGGACGCCAAAGCCGGTGTGTTTGAGGACGGATCAGAGGATCCGTCTGTGTAAATGTAGCACCAATTTGGCCATTTCTCGTGGATGTGTGCTAATGAATTGTTTTTAGCGATGTTTTGATCCGTTTGTTTGTTTAGCGTGAAGGCGAGTGTGGTGTCTTCTTTAGGGCTTTTGATTTTTGTAGTGTAAATGTTGGAAGGTTTGGTGTTTTGTCTGAAATTATTTAGTTTTTGTTCATTTAGGTAGGTTTCTATTCTTGTGATATGGGGGTCAGTTGTGGGTTTTTGCGGGCCAGCGCTTGTTTTTTGGGGGGCTTATGTTATTTTTAAGAATGTTTTGGATGAGAGGGTTTGATTGGGCGGCCGCCTAGAAGTTTGGAGATAATTGTTCCCTACGTAATTCTAATGGGATTTCTCCTGTTAGAGCCTGCAGTGAAGTGCTAGAAGTGCCTTGTTGGGTGCAGGTGATTATTTTTAGTGCTTGGTACTGGATTGAGTTTAATTTATTGTTAAGTGAATTGTTTAGGGTGTTGTAAATGGCGCTACCGTAGTCTAGTTTAGATCGGATAAGAGCTGTGTATAAGGAAAGTAGGGTGTTCTTTTAGGCTCCCCAGTTGGATCCCGTGAGGCATCTGAGTGTGTTTAGGTTCTTTCTGCATTTGTTTTTTTATGTGAGCATCCCAAGTGAGATGCTCATCAAAGATTTGTCCTAGGAATATAGTTTGTTTTTGGAATTTGATGGTATTATTGTTAAGTAGTAGTTTTAGAGAGGCGGATTGCATATTTTTATGTGTAAAGACTATACCTGTTGTTTTTTTCGGAGTTTAGTGAGAAGCCCCATTTGTCTGTCCATTGTTTGATTTTATTCAGTGATTTTTGTAGAATATTTTGCGCTAATTTAATGCTTTTTGTGCGGATCCAGAGGGCTCCGTCACCTGCGAATTTGGATGTGTTTACTGTAGGGGATAGTCCCTCGAACAGGTCGTTTATCATTATGTTGAAGAGAGTGGGGATTAGGATGCTGCCCTGGGGTGTGCCGTTTTCTAGGGGACACTGGTCCAATAGAGTTTGGTCTATACCCACAGCTATTTTGCGGTTAGTTAGGAAGTCTTAGATGTAATTTATTATTTGTAATTACATGTTTGAATGTTATCAGTTTTGCGTTCTGAGATACAGTGATGTAAGCATCTTCTACAATTAACAATACATGTATATAATAAAATACAGAACTCTCTGCCGGAATGTTTCGTGGAAATCATTCGATCAATTAAAAATGACTGCGTGACAAGACGAATCAACTATTTATACCCGATAAAAGAAACTACCTTATTTTAGGAACAGTGCCATAAAAGTACATTTGAAATTTCTAACAAGCAGATACATTAGCGACAGTGACTACATTTACGTAATCCGTATCAATCAAAGGTGTAAAAAAATGAAAATCATTTCTGTCAGCCTACCAAATTACCAAGTTTTATTAATACTATATTTATTACAATGCAAATACTTTAGTGATACATTTTTCAGAGGAGAGGCCATACACACATGTATATTGCTTCCGTGTGTGAATTCAGGTTATACTTGGCATCTCAGTTCCCAGTTTCATACCGGATGTATATCTGAATTCGTATATGGAACCATGCGTACAGCATGACAATTACTTGCTAGTCCTCAGTCGACAACACACATAACATGGTCAAACAATTTGGGGCCCCGCTTTTGCAAGTTGTTTAGTACAATAATGTTTTATTAAAATCTCTTTCAATTTGCTTTCACCATTTTCCCTATTCCATTCCATGCCTGTTAATGTAGCTACATCCTATTGCTCATGTTCCCAAGTATTATAAAGCACTTTAATGTTTCTCCTTCCTAATCTAACGTTATAACATTTCAGGTCATCACCATCACAAGCGACGATACCAAGACTTATTTTATTCGGTTTATGGCCTATGCGGTCATACAATTGATTTTATTAGTCTTTAAATCTTATGTCTAGTACATATTTTCACAAACAGGGCTGTTAGCTGATATAAGGAATGTAATATCCAGTTGAATTCCCAGTTGACGTGAAGATCCGGGGTAGAATAGGCCTTCAGCAACCCATGCTTGCCGTAAAAGGCGACTATGCTTGTCGTAAAAGGCGACTAACGGGATCGGTTGGTCAGGCTCGATGACTTGGTTGATGCATGTCATCGATCCCAATTGCGTGGATCGATGCTCATGATATTAATCACTGGATTGTCTGGTCCAGACTAGATTATTTACAGACGGCCGTCATATAGCTGGAATATTGCCGAGTGCGGCGTAAAACAACCAACCAATCAACCAACTTTTTTATCAAATAAGAGGACTGTATACGACATACGTTAGTCTTAACGAACTTTCTACAATTAATATTTTGAATAAGGACAGTCGTTGTTACGTGCGTAACTAGGTTATTAGTACGGCATTGACCTTGACATGTGTCTTTGGGCAAACATCGTCCTCACCAGAAGTGCTGAATTCTAAAGATGCACTTGGGTGTAAATTGACTGGGGAAAAGATAGGAACCACATTATTGATATATTGATGACACGAAGCTCGCAGATGTCACTGCATGCAAGAAGCCATGCAATACAATATACGTTTATGTATACAGCAGCTGTTCAATTTTGGAAACGCCTTTGTTCATGTTCACAATTCATGTCAAACATTTTAGATGACGTTTCAGAATCAGTGAGGTTAATAGGGGTGTAACGTTGCACTTCTATAGCGACGTGCTTGTACGTGTGTGTGTGTTTGTGTGTGTCAGTTTGTACTAGCCCGGACCGATGCCGATTTATAGTGCTAGCTCACTGAGGTGAATCTGAAGATTGTGACAAGTTCAAATTTTGAATCTATTGTCATCACTCCACAGGTTTCTGAGTGCGGTGACAAACGTTGCCTTACTTGCAGCACTATAATTGAAGGCTGTTCAGTCCAAATTACAAAGGACACTAAATTTACTGTAAAACAAAATATGACTTGTGATACTAGAAATGATATTTACTTGATTGTTTGTAGTGGATGCAATGAGAAGTATATCGGGAAGACAGAACATAAATTAAAAAGAATGAATCTTCACCGTTTACAAATAAAGCAGCCACAA